CTGCTTTCAATCCCTGTTACTTGTGTACTTTTCTCCCACACTTTTTCCTTCCACTCAACTTTCCATTGACTTGTTTAGACTGTGGTCTCACAGAAAACTCTGTTATCCCCCTAACTGCATAAACAACATGGTCATGACAATTTTTTATCTTTGTATTCTGGTTTTTAATCACCTGTTACTCAGATCGACAACATATTCATCAATTGAAATGTATTAGTGTGTATTTTTCTATATGTAATAACTTTTCTACGGTTTTCCATTTTATTGACATGTACCTCTAAGAGTACGGCCTATTTTAAGCTTATTTCAGAAAACACAGCCTTGGCTTCTTCTGCCTTAAACCTTTTCTCCTCTTATTAACAGCCTATCAGTGCAGACTAGATTTCCATCCATACCCACTTATCCTTGCAGAGATGGAGTCCATCTCCAGCGATCAATGAGTGAAAGAATAGAAAAGACTCTGCATAGGTTGAAAGTTATCAGAGGGCAAAGCAGAAACACATATAAACGTGTGCTACCTCATACCTGAGGGGGATTTCAGGTAAACGATTAACCTTCCTAGAAAGTTGTTGGAGTGTGGAAGGAGATCAGAGTACCCAGAATGAAGCTATGTATGTAAACGGAGACAACAGATCAGCTCCATGGAGATTTGTTTTTCACATTTATATAATCCTGAAACAAAATGGATGTTGATGGTCGTTTGCTTTCCTGTTAATAATCATAGCAACAGGATGAATCATTAGATTTCTGGAAACAGGTTTTCAGCACTCTCAGTCAAGTCCATGTAGCCCTGCAAGCAAGAGCAGTTCTATTCACTTTATAAGAGAAACCTAAGATTACTCATTAGCAGCAACTGTTGTTGTTACACTTGGCATAAATTCACCTTTTATTTGATGTAGTCAACTGTGCTTCAGGGCGGTTAGTGTCTATCTTCTGCATTGTGAAAGAGGTGAAGGTGAACCCTGACAGATCACCAGTCCAGACTTAGACAAACACCCTGCAAGTATGATGTCACTTAAGGCTAATTTGAATAAACGACTGTGGGGGAAATCCTGAGAACCCAAAAGGAAACTAGCTCCTTGCAGAAGGACCACAGACCTTCAATTAAATTCAAAAGCCTCTTGCTGGACGCCACTGTACTTCATACTATCTTACTGTATTAGCTTAAGCTCACAGTGCAAAACTATGCACATTTATATCAGTGGAGGTTGAACGTTTTTTTCCCTCTGTTTTTTTCCTACAACCAGCTGTTGTTTGGACAGCATCTGATGAATGTTGAACGTTTTTCTCCTTCAATATGAAAATTCAGTAAATTCTACTCCCCACATCTTTACCAGTGATGCCATTAAATGCTGCTGTTCTTTATCAAGTCACCATGTGGAAACATCCACATCACGTTTTTGATGTTGGGGTCAAACTCTTAGGACCTGGCCAAGAATGGCCCCTGGATCCAATCAGAACTTTGCTCTAGCATCAGTTCTATCCCTGCCTCAGTTACCTCCCTCTCCACCCGACTCAGTCCTCACTGCTGTGGATGCTCTTGTGTGAAGCCTAGGTCAACACATGCTCACTTCCAGGCAGTCAAAGGTAAAACCCTTCATGGTTGAGCCAAATATCCAGGCTTATAGCTACCATTTTCAGCCCTTAGAGAAGTGTGTAAAAAAAAATTCAGTTTTAAACTTTAAACTATATTTTGTTTCATTTCTTTTGAGATATTTCTGAAATATTATCCTTTCAAAACAGCTTAGAAAAGCCCTGCTGTTGAATGAAACACTGATTTGGGTTTGCATTTTTCACAGTGAATGATTTCCAAATTACCTCTAGATGAAAATAAAGAGTCAACATCAGTCAGAGCTTTCAGAGCTGGTTAATTTCTCCACTTGCAAAATGCTTTGACTGCAGTGTAACACATGCCTGGTATGGACGGAGCTATTAGTTTTCCAAGAATGGTGATGCAAGCATATTAAGAAGATTAGCTTCACCTAGTTCCATCTCAACGCAGCCTTTGTTTGTTTCTATGTGGAACAATAGTCTTTCACAGCATTTATGGAGAAATGTAATCACCTAAGAGCATTTCCTACTGAGGTTACAGAACACTGTTTATAGCTCGTTCACATTCCTGCTCCAGGAAATCCTTTTATGTCAGGGGGCTTTTCCTCCTGAGAATAATGGACCTTCATTTAAATAAAGCAAGATTTTTATGGTTTACTTGTGATGAAGCGTCATGTGCAAGTGAAGAATAGAGCATTCACCAAGAGGAGAGGCAGAAGAGCTGTGGTCATCACTACTAATAATAACATCTAAATCTGAGGATAAAGGTTTAAAATCCATGATTTAAGTTGGTTTCCATGAGGTTAGGGAAACAGCGCCCTCTGATGGTTTATCTAATGCACTGCATCAAAACACTTAAAGCAATTAATTATTTTATTAACCTTTATTTAGAAAGATTTACCCCTCCAGATAGAAATAAAGTGACCACTCAACATGTTTAACAGAAATTAAACTGGTTAAAAAATGAACCAATGACTGCTCTTAGAGCAAATATTACAGATATACAAATCTAATTCACAGAGTTGCAAAACTTGTCTTGTTGACTTGTCCTTTTTGGCGCTGGATCCTCCTCCTCAGTATCTGGTCGGGGATAAGGTCAGACTCTTTTACGTCTGAGTTTCCACAGCCCACGACGGGACAGCTGGAAGACAGACAGCAGATGTTAACATGTTCCAAAGGCAGCCAACCTTAAACGCAGAGGTAGCTCTGTGTGCAAGCAGGAGCCTCTCTACTCAGAATAGAACTGAAACATTTCTATTCATCTGTAATGTGATTTAGAAATAAAACATCACTTTTATAGATTAACTTCACAAGAGACATTTTAGCTAATTTATACCATCTGCTTGTTTTTTTTTGTCTGCACCAACAACACCAAGTCAAATTCCTTGTAAGTGCAAACCTACTTGGCAATAAACTTGATTCTGATTCTGCTGATATTAATTCTAAAATAAGTTCAGCCACAAATTAGGAAGTTTTAGAGCATCATTAGGATGCTTTCATTTTCAAGAGAAATAATCCCTTTGTGTTTAATGAACATCTATAATAGATGCACTTCCCTTTTCTGAACAGAGTGACTGAGATATTTCACCTTTTCGGTGATATCTGTATTTATTGAGAGGAGTCTGCAGCACGTAGATCTGCAGTCGCCAAGTACAGATAGAACAGTATTTATTCAGAATTGCAAAAAAGACCACAGCAAAACTATAAGGATGAAAGAGCCAGCTTTGAGATTTCATCAGAGCTCCTGGAGGACCAGCAACATTTAGCAGAACTCCAACATCAAAACGCTACAACAAAGAATCCGCTTTTTAAAGCAAGTAAGGCAAACTGCTGCTGGTCCCATAGCGACCTGACGCTAAACCTGACTCCACTTTCTAGGTGTCCTTGCAGGGAGAGGGTCTTACCGACACTTCTTCTTTTGTTTACGTTTATTTCTGATCAGATTCAAGATAGCTTCTTCATCATAGTGGTGATTGCACTTCTTATTCTTCATAGGGTTCACCATTTCCACCTTAAATAAACACAACAGATACTTTAATAGACAAAACTTGACTAACTGCTGCTAAAAATGCTTACGAAATGATAAAGCACGTGTTTTTTTTCTAATGGAGGACAAAAGAAGAAAGAAGAGATCTACCTGTGTGAGGGGGCAGGTGAAATTTTCTTGGGTCTGGGAGACAGCTATGTCCTCGTCAAGCACCTCCAAGTTCTCTGCTGACTCTTGGTTGGCTGCAGAAAACACAACATATATGCAGCTTGATAACAAAGGCACAAACGGTGCTAATAGGTGGGCTATTTATGCTTCTGTACCACAACGTTCAAAGATATTAGGGCTGAAACTTACAGTCATTTTGCCAATCGATTCATCTGTCAATTCTTTTTTTACATTAATCGGTTAGAAATTAGATAGCAAAAGGTTCCTTAAAGAAGATCTTTTACAGAATGAAACTAAAACTTATCCATTTAAGGAGTTCTGGATAGAGCATATGAATAGATTATTTTATTTTTTTATGTTTAATTCTAAAATGTTTACATATTTTCTTTTAAAATTTCAGCATAATTACTGCTACAAGATGGTTGCCCTTATAGCTAAATGCCTGTTTAAGAGTCTCTATACTCCAGTTAACGGTTAATCAATTACTAAATTATTTGAAGATTATTTCAATAATTGATTGATTGTGATTAATTTGATCGTTTCAGCCCTAAAAGATACTTTTCACTCTGCTGCTTTAAATAAATTGCATCTAATACAATATAACACTTTATATAAAATAAATCCTGGGCTACTTGTGATGAGAAATAGATATATTTTTTCCCACATGACAGATCCATAACCTGTATCCTGACTGAGAAAAAAAAGCACTAAGCCTACATCACCTTTGGCTGCCAGCTGAGGACCAAAGAACTCCCTTTATAATCGACGTCCTGAGCATTAATACTTGTACGTCTTTCTGTGCTTTTATTTTCGCATATTTTCATGAAGCTTGGAGATGTTACACTAAAGCTGAAAATTCAACCCCTATTTTTCTATTTCAGTCCCTCCCTTACAGTGCCACCAAAAGCCTGACCTTGATGCAAAGAGTTCTCTATGCTCTCCTTAAAGGCGGCCACTTTCTGGTGGTTGTGCAGATCGGCGTCTGCGAGCCGAGCAATCGTCTGTTTAAACTGCTCCTCCACTTTGGCAGACAGGTTGAAGATGGCCTCTGGGTTCTGTGCAGTGACCTACAGAAAGGCACACCAGACAGATTCATTTCAAGATAACACATGCTCTGCGGTTTCTCTCACGTTTTAAAATCATTTATCAGACATGAAAAATGGAAAGTAAACTAAATGCAAAACCAAAGCTCAAAGGATCCACTCAGATATCGCCCATTTACATGGTACGTTTCATTAATTAATGTCTCTTCCTTCTTTAGTTTTTATCTCAGTGAATAAAAGCAGATCTAAAGGGTGTTTTCCACTTAGAAGAGTCTGACTGCGAGTCATTATGTTTCACCTCAGCTGTGGCTTGCTGAACAACATCAATAAAGACGTCTATCTCCCTGTCCAGCTTTGCACACTCCAGAATCATGGCCTCCATCTCTTTGATGGAAGAATTCATCCCTTCATCTAGAAGAAAAAAAAATACAGAAACACAAAGATAAAGAATTATTAAGCTGCTTATGTGATCGAGTTTTATAAACATTTGATAAGAGGCTGATGTATTAGTAGCTTATTTTGAATTAACCTTTTTGAAAACCGGTTTAGCAGAAGCTTATCTGTAAGCATGTTATCTTTGTTTATCTAAAATGCTAAAGGGGATTAGAAGGTACTAAACAGAGGGGGACAGCTTTTATTTAAAAGATCCAGATTTTTCCCGTCTTACTTTTTATGCATCATGAATTTTCAGACCATTTCCGATATCCATACGGGAATGTTTATGGCGTTAAAAACTCCAAAGCTATGCACAAAACTAATTTTATTACTCGTTTCTCTCTCAGCCATGATAGAAATAAAATCTTTGCTCGTGCACATGGTGATGAGTTACCAAGCTGCCTTAAAACTCCAACTATATTCGGATAGTTTAGCTGTATTATCCATTAATGTGTCAAATTTAGTTTGGATATATTGTCTTTACATAAGATCTTAAATCTGGGCTACATGCAGATTCAAATAAACATGTTTGATACTCCAAAGTTTTGTATTTATTGTGTTTTTTTAACATGACAGACTTCTAATCAATACTATTTTTAAATATCAGTTTTTGATTTTGGATTATTTTGAAACAATTTTTAGAAAGTTTTGCTGGAGTAACAGACTAAAAAAAAGATATTATACCCATGTTGATTACATTAAAATGAGCTGTTTTATTATCCCACTACCTTAAGTAATTTGATTTTTAAGTGTAATATCCATCACTAAAGGATAAAAGCTGCAGATTATTCATTTGTATTATGACAGGGAAACTTTCAAATATAAAGATATGCATATACTAAACAAGGTTTATATACTATAAAATTAGTCAGAGCAGGAGCAATTGATGCCTATTTATCCCTACTAACCCCTTGCTTATGCTGCTGAAGATTCTCAGTCATTCAGGTCATTTTCATTCTAAAAATTAAAAAAAAAATAAACCACTTTGTTTTCCCAAGTTTGAAGACCTTTAGCTTCCCATCCAGGACGCTTTTTCAATTCAAAATGTCTGTATTAGCGCTGAGTTCCAGGCTTTATAGAGTAGCCCAACAAAAGCTTTGTTTTGGCTTCAAATGTCTCCAAACGTGGAAAACAAGGTCCAGTGGATTTTCTTTTTTTACTTTTTTGGATCCCCTTGCTTATTTATTTATTATTATTTTTTTATTTTATTTTATTTTTTTTTAAACTCCGCTCTCAAAAACACATAGAAGATGGATTAAATGTCCTTTTTAAATAGATGCGGAAAATGTAGTTTTATATCCAAAGGTGGATATCATCCAGATGTTTATTTGAGGAAATGTATGGATCTGTTTAACTGACAGGTCTATATTACTGCTCATTTGGTTTTACAGAAATTATTCAAACAATAAAAAACACCTTTTAAACGTTAATTTCTTTTCAGAAACAGTAACACTAAATTCTGTGCTCTTCAAGACTGTGTTTAACTTATTCAGAAAACTACAGAATTTTTATTACATGTATCCTGTTGGTGTTTAAAAGTTGGAAGCAGAAAGGATTTGGATAGGAGTTTTATTTTAGTGGAATTAGTGTCATATGGTGATATAAAGCTTTACTCCTTACAACTAATTCAATTAGTGATAATAAAGACGCTACATAAAACGACTACAGAAAGAAACAAAGAACTGAAAATTATCATTAAATTAACAGGATGGCTCCAATGATCTCATTTGTTGTCATATTTACCCTGAGCTTCAGCGAGGTCTATAGCAACATCCGTCACGATGTCCATTCCTGTTCCGATTTCTGTCTGGCATGACTTAAGGCTGGACAGAATCCCATCCACAGCCTTCAGAGACATCTTTGTCTTTGGTCTTAGCAGCGGCGATTTTAGCTTAGCTTAACGGCAACCTGTGGTTCCTCCTGCTATGGCTAACCTGGCCGGCAAACCGCCAAGTTCTTCCATTAAGGTTAGAAACAGCGTCTTATAGGGGCTAGTTTTGGAGATTATATTATAAAGATAAAATACAAGCGTAAACGAAATAAAATAAACTTATTAAGTTTAGAGGAAGGGGGAAAATAACTTCAAACGCGGTAAACTGTTACACTTCCGGGTAGATTATTTTCAAAATAAGAGCATAGAACAAAAAGAGCAGTGATGTATGAATCTTTTTATTGGCACATTTCAATATTCAATGGCACAAATTTTAATTACATAAAAGTAAATGTATTGTACAAATCAAAATTAGTGCATATGATACAAGTTTACCACATAAAATGTAAGTAAGTAACTAAATGAGACTGACATTCATAAACTATCATTATAACACTTTTGATCCTCCTGATTTAACATATAAAATATATTTTTTTAAAAGGTCTGCACTTCAGATATGGAAAGTTACAGAAGCTTACTAAAAGACCTGAATGAGCTGTTGTTCTTATTAGTAAAATAATTTTTCCACTGAACAAAATCTGGAATGGAGAAAAGCTCTCAGGCAACAAGTGGGGTATAATAGGATGAAATGTCATATGCAGAATGGTCACAGATTTGTTCTGAACTCATCGAAAATAAAACTGGGCACGTGAGCTTCCACCACCTTCAGAATACAGAGAAAAGAGGAGACAGATATTACCATCACAAAAATAAATAATACATGTTTTGGTCTTGACTGTTTAACACTAAATTACCTCCAAACATTGCAAAGCATTTGGATAAATATATATAATTATGCTTTCTCAATTACCCTTTCCCACCTTTTCACCACATTTTATGATATGTGATTAAAAATAATTGTTACTCTACCTTGCGTGAGAGTTTTGTGTACTTCACATAGTCTTCCAGGAACATCAGTGCTCCCACTACATCTGAAGGCATGTCTGGGATTTTCTGACTGTAATGGGATAAAATGGAAACTCAAAATTATTTATGAGTTATTAAGAAATAATTAGAAACTATTTTAAAAAAAATTAGTTACCTTGTGCACTGCTCCATGATAGATCGGATGTACTGACCAATGAGAGCTAGGAACTGATGTGTGTATCTAGAGTGGAACTGCTTGAGTAGTGTGAGCATGCCCAGCACTAGTGGTGGCCAGTCTACTGGGTCTGTAGCTTTCCTGCAGCTCATTCCTTTGAGAAGAAAAAAAAGTCAGAAGTCAGACAAAAAGAAATCTTAATGCACACTGATCTGAAATCTTTAAGGCTACTTCATGTTGTGAGACTGGTTTTTATAAATTATATCTTTATTCTACAGTTCTGATGATAATCAGAGCTGGGTTTAGCCAATAAAGTGTAACAACTTTCTAAAAAGAAAAGAAATGTTGTGTTTTATGTGAATGTGATTTAATATGAATGGAAATGACCTCCCAAAAAGGGCCATGTTGGTGTGGAAAGCTTTTACTTTGTCAAACAGTTAAAATTGTTATTAAGTTTGACAGAAAAGCAAAGACAGTGATCCCTTGGGGGGTAGAGAAGGGTAGATTTTTTTTTTTCTAAAAAAAATAAATAAATAAATAAAAAATATCCAAGAAGAAAAGTTTAATCATGGGTGGAGGTAAAACAAAAGAAATAAAAAGTTTCAAGCAATTTTCTGACATTTAAATATGATCAGTTGATAGGAGAAAATCAATAATTCTGTAGCACTGTACTAAAGTAAGCAAACATCTTCCAATTACTGACACTATTATCATGTTTCAACTACAAACTTTAATATTCTTTATGTAATGAACCAACAAAAAATAGGTCACCAACAGGATGTGGAAGAAAAAAATATCATTCCAGTTAAATTTTTTGACCTTTTTAAATTCAAAACTTGAATCAATGCAGTACACATTTGTTTAACTGCAATTGGAGCTGCCAGATTTAAGAGAATGAATGATCTGAATAAAGCTGAACTTTTCATCTTTGCACAAGATCTTAAGAACAGTATGACTGGATCGATATCGTTTACATCTTCATATGCAAGGAAACCCTCCAGACAGGTCAGGGATAAACATGTGGAGCAGTCTAAAGCAGCGTTAGATTATAAAATAAGGCCCCAAGCTTTAAGTCTCTGATGGAACATTGTTCAGTCCATCATATTGGAATTAAAGTAGCCTAGAGAACTCATCAGAGGATTAGAGAAAAAGGTCAGTTAATGCTAGAGGAGGAAAGGAGACCCACTGCTCACGTAGGAAAAAAATAAAAAACATAAACTTTGAGTCTTGCAGCTAATATATATATATATATATATTTGAAAAGAAGAGACAAGAAATCCATGTAAATGTTACAAGCAGTGTAGAGAACCAAGCAAAACTTAACTTCTACATGTATACATTATGATCCTCAGCCATTGTGAAACATGGTGGCAACAACATCATGCTATGGTGACACTCTTCTCCAGCACAGATAGGAAAGCTATATTGAAAAGATGGAGCTAAATACAGTGGGAAGACACATAATAGGTTGCGGATATTCACCTTCAGTGTGTGAAGATGCTCTCTATCCATCTGACTGCAACTATTTGCATAAAACTTCAGGAGTAAATTTCCGTTTGTAGATTTCCAAAGCTTATAGCATCTTACTTCTGAAGACACAGCTTTAACTGGAACTCCAGTTGTTTTACAAACAACTGGAGTTCCAGTTGTTTGTTCCAACTGATATTAACCCCTTAACTGGGTACTTCACTGTTAAAACAGCCAAATGTGAGTAAGTTAAAATGCTATGAACACTTCTGCACTAAATGCTGAGGGAGACAAACAGCAAAACACTGTACCCTGGTTTTTGTTGTACTGAACTTTAGGCAGCTGAGCAACGACAAACAGGAAGTTGATGATGGGGAAGTACGGGAGACGCTTTGTAGTGATGTATATCTGTAAAATGCATAAACACAGGAGATATGAGATGTTTGATATGCTTAAAAAATAGTAAAATCGTTACACTGCAAGTGAAAGCCTTTTTTTTTTGCAAACCTTATTGAGCGGGTTATGAATACCAGCAGCCTCTAGGTAGGCAGCGATCTCATAAAGAAGAGTGTTGTCTTCTTTAGGATAGGGCAGGCTAGGATCTTGGTAGTGGGCTTCAATGTCTGCTAGCAGAGACCTGCAAGGATAAAAACATATTTATACTGAAAGAAATTCTCCTTAGCTGCATTTATATCAGTAAAATAAAGTATTTCTGTGGCAGCTCCTCAGAGATGTGATTAAAATATTCTCTGCTTGGTGGTGAGAGCAGACATACTTGTTGAGGTTTTCCAGAGCGGCTGCCAGGTGTTTGGAGTCAAACTTGCAGGAGTAGTTTAGCTCATTTGCAATCTGCTGCCGGAGAATCTGCATCTGGCCGACCTACAACGGCACAGGCGATTAAAGTTTCACAGCAATGTGATTCAGATGGAGAGTTGACTGCGATATTGCTTCAAATTCTCTGGGAACGAAATTAATTCCAACCTTCATGATGGATTCCAGGTATGCTCCCCAGATCTTTTGCGTCTTTGCAACGGCACTTGCATAGACTTTGCTGGCATTAGCTAATGAAACAAAAAACAATAATAATTTATATTTTAAAAAAATCTTACAGATTGCATTATTTTTAGAATAAATACTTACCCACAATGCCTTGCACTGGGTTGACTGCAGCAAGCACGGTTTTAAAAACATCCAGCACAGCTTTGTCCTTAAGGATACATTTCTGCAGAATTGTCAGGAAGTTCTGACGACACAATCACAATGATTAAAGTTTAGTAAGCCTATGAGAGCTGAAGATTTGAACAACCTGTAACCTGTAACAAAAAAATTGGGGATATTAATTTAATTGGATTACCTGAAGCTCCCTGACGATCATGAAGCAGAGCAGTCGGTCCAGTCCGTTGAGGCCAAACGTGCCCAGGGTGCTCTGGATCTCAGAAAACAGCCTATTGTTGGTCACTTCCTGATGGCTCTTCATGTCGTACCAGGTGTTCAGCTGATCAATGTAACAGGTCAACCTGTTGAGAAGACAATGCTTAAAATGGCACAAACTGAAGAGAATATTCTAAGAACCCAGCGCTGTGAACAGAAGCTAGTTTCTTGGTATCTCTCTCATCCAACACGGGTCTAACAGCCAAGGTAAAGAATATTATAATTGCCATCTGTGATTTTAGTACAATTACTTTTTAACATGAATTTTCGTCCATTTTCAGTATGAAGACTGGATTCCCAGAGTGATATTATTCATGGTGAGTTTATTCTGTCTGGTGGCACAAATGTACAGCAGCGATCTACGTACCAGTATGTCTATCCTCAGACTCAGTTGTATTTTGTTTTTAATCAGTTTGTCATGGACTACCTCAATGCAAAAACAGTTGAAAATTATATTATATATATTATAATATTTTCCTTATTTTGAATGTAAATTGTCTTATTCCAGGGGTAAGGTGTCTCATCTACTCAATTCAAGAAAAATGCACTTATTTTTAGGACAAAAAATTATTGTTTATACCCCTTTCCCACTGGCTGAAAAAAAAAAACAGTTTAAACCCGGGAACAATCAGCTTTTAGTGGCAGTTGGAACAGCTCACGGACGCCTCAGGTCTGGTCGGCATTCTGTGGGAACACCAGAGCCGGGTCGATCGGCTTGATTTACGTGATACCATTGAGGGCAACGCTCTGATCTAAAAAGCTTAAACAACTTGTTTACATTTGTTAAAAAATGGAGCAGCGCTGGACATTCATTTAACACGGCACAGTGCTGGTGGGAAAGATTCGGACAGATAAAAGAGCGAAAGAATAAAGCATACTGACTTCACCCTGGCATCCTTACATGTTGCTCTTCATTGTTTACTTTCCTGATTTCTGTCACACTGGTGACATCATTGACCATAACCCAGTGGGATGGTGTCATCAGACATGCCGCTTGCTAGCTAGAGGTTAGACCCAGCTTTTTTGCCAATGGGAAGGGCGCCAAATGCTGATTGTTAGCGGGTTAACCCATGTTGGAAAACCTCGCGTTAACATGCTATTTTCAGTGGGAAAAGGGATAGATTTATTTATTTTTTGCATTGCTATTGTGACCTACTTTGGATCAGTGATTCTTAAGATCTCTCTACAGAGACGACCGATGAAGGTGGCAGACTCGTCCACAGAGGGATACTTTG